TCTTCTCTGGTGTTGCTCTATTCTGTTTCCTTTTGACGCATTCATGAATAATCTGCCTATCCATTCCCTTCATTTTGTACTTCTTTTAGATTTCTGAATTTTCCAGCCGCTGGTAATTTATCTCATAACTTAATATTGAAGTACAGCATTTTTTTTAACAAAATTGACAAATTTCATGCTGTTACTTAACCAAAATTTCCACCAAATCAGGTCATAACCTCCCACTTACTGCAATTTCAGGACTATGCTAATTGCCAATGCAGGCGACTGCCGAGCTGTACTGGGAAAGCGTGGCCGAGCCGTTGAGCTTTCCAGAGACCACAAACCAAATTGCAACACCGAAAGGCTACGAATCGAGAAACTTGGTGGAATTATCTACGACGGTTATCTCAATGGTCAGCTTTCAGTAGCCAGAGCCCTGGGTGATTGGCACATGAAGGGGCCCAAAGGCTCTCAGTGCCCTTTAAGCGCCGAGCCTGAACTCCAAGAAACAATACTCACAGAGGAAGACGAGTTCTTGATTATGGGCTGTGATGGGCTTTGGGATGTGATGAGTAGCCAGTGTGCTGTTACTATAGTGAGGAAAGAACTCATGGCTCACAATGACCCTGAGAGGTGCTCAAGGGAATTAGTTCAAGAAGCGCTCAAGAGAAACACTTGTGATAATTTAACTGTGGTGGTTGTTTGCTTCTCACCTGATCCACCCCCTCATATTGAGATCCCAAAAACCCGAGTTAGGAGAAGCATTTCTTTGGAGGGCTTGCATTTGCTCAAGGGGGCTTTAGATACTCATGTCTAATTTTCTTTTTTTTTATGTACGTGGGCTTTCAACATTTGGAAGTTCATCTATTCAATGTAGTTTGCAAAAGAAATCGGGGTTTTCTAGCATTTGATCCTCTTTTTGGAATAAAGATGCAGCGTGTGATTTTTGCAAGGTATAGGTTAATCATGTATGTTTTGAGTTCAAATTATTTGCCTTGTATGAAAATGTAATGCTCAATCATGTATGTTGAGTTCAAATAGCTTGTCTTATATGAGAATTGAATGCTTGTGATAGTTATCATCATATAGCATACACTCTTTTTGGTAACTTGAGCTTCAATGGTATCAATCAATGGAAATATTAGGGGGTAAACAGAGGTTGATGAGTCACTTTATAATGTTGACTAGTGTGTTGCCCTATAAACCAGAAGAAACCTTATGCGTCCAAACTAATGGATACATATACAGTCTAATAGGGGGAAAATTTTCAAATTCGCACTCGACTTCTCGTTCTTATTTTCAACCATCCAAAGACCACTGTTTGATCGACTTCTTCAATGCATGAAAGGGAGCTGGAGATGGCATTAATCTCCTATAAATATCATGAAATCAATTATACAATTTGTACAAAAAGAAGACCATTCCGTCTGGTTTTAGTGCATAGACATCATCAAATCATTGAGCAAATAATGCCAGTATTCACAATCTCCATGAAATACAACTCATTTATTGAAGAACAAGAAAACAACAACTTTTCGCCATTGCATCAGTTCATCAAATCAAAAGGGCTTCACAAATATTCACAAATATTCAGAATTCACAAAATTCTCAAGTTCCCATAAAAATACCAGGAGAAAGCTCTCCCCATACTTGATATACTTTCACAAGGATTAAACTTTGTCCCCTCCCTTTGCTTGTATTAAGCACAAAATCTTCAGTCAGTCCTCAAACTTCGAGTTCAATCAAAATTGTCTAATTTACATATAGGATGCTTCAAAATCTGGAGCAATCACCAGCATTCTCCAAAGCGCACAATACTCCATTTTCTTCTAATCACAAAACCTAGAGACAAATGCATTGTTTTTGTGCACATTAGGAAAGATATCGCTCCTCTCCATTTCACCCTTTGAGGAACTTCGGACCTTTGCATCTTAATAATCTGTTTGAGCAAACTAATATGGTCCATCCTCTACCGCTTTCCCATGAGTCAACTTGTGGCCTCCCCATCACTCAATTTGTCAATCTAGAGCTCTGATAGACTCTCAGTCATAAAACGTTGACATACACAAATCTTCAACATTAACACCTACCAGGGCTTTCCATACCCCAAGGTATAAAAGCAAGAGGGTAACCAAACCAATCAGCATGTCCAAAGGGTGAAGCAGCTTCAAATTCAGACATTGGCGACACAACAAGCGACGTGTGGTACACAGTATGTACCAAGTACTTCAACAAAATCGTTCAATCATCTGTATAATTATTGCATAAAGCATCCATCGCCCGAGTTGTGCTTTCGAGTTTCATCTCAAATCTTTCGTTCACGAGGAAGCAGCTCCATGTAAAACTATCAGGAACTATACCCCTTTCCACCATTTGCACAAGGAAATTATATGCCCTTCCTTCATCCCCTTGTTTACAAAGAGAACAAATCAAAGGATTATAACTTTCAGTGGTAGGCGAACATCTCCTACTAACCATCTCATCTAACAACTTCAATGAACTTCTAAAATTTCCCTCCTCACAAAATCCATGAATCAAAGCATTAAACGTTGAAACCATAGGAAAATATCCTCTCTCCACCATCTCATTCATCAAACCAAAAGCTTCACGAACATTCCCTCCAATGCTAAGCCCTACGATCAAGCTAACATATACAAATACGCTCGGGATATCCCCTTCATTAACCATCTGATCAAAAATAATTTTCCCTTCTCCAATTTTACCCTCTTCGCAAAATCCCAAAATCCTCAAGCTCCTACCAACAACTCTAGGAAACAAACTCTCCATCTTCTTAAGAAACTCATAACCTTCTTCCAACCTATTCTCTTTGTAAAAACCATACAAGAGACTATTATAAGGACTAACCCTACTCTCATACCCTCTCGTTTCTTCCATCATATCCAAAATTCTCAGTCCATCTTCAACCCTCCCCTCCAGACAAAAACCTCGAATCAACAGATCAAACGTCTCAAAATCCGGAGAAACCCCAACCATCCCCATCTCTCTAAACAAATCCATACCCGAATCCACTTTACCCGAATCACAAAACCCCGATATCAGCGCATTATAAGTATGCACATTTGCAAGGCATCCTTTCCTCTCCATCTCCTTCAATACCCTTCGACCAACCTCGGGCTTCTCCATCCTACAAAAACCCTTAACCAAGCTATTATAACTCACAACATCGACGACCCCCCCTTTGCTCTCCACTCTCTCCAACAACTCCACCGCCTCCATTGCACGCCCGTGCCCGCACAAAACATCCACAACCTTCGTAACCGTTATCTTATCGGGCACAAACCCGGAATCAAAGCACTTCTCTAGCATAACGAGAGCCTGGACCAAATTATCCTCTTTGCAATAAGCAGATATCAAAATATGGAACGTAACATCTGAAACCTCGTCCATTTCACCCATTAAGCTCCTACCCCTTCCGACACCCCCATTTCTACATAACCCATGAATCAAAGTGTTGTAGATTACCGAATTCGGCTTCAAGCTCGCCGAAGACTTCATCAGCTTCAACAGCTTGAACGCCTCTTGAATCCTATTGGCGCCGCAGAGACCCTTCATGAGGATCCCAAACGTGTGCTCGTCTCGAACGCTCATCCCCTTCCGAAAGAACTTGCGGGCCAGGTCGATGTCTTCCTCGACGAGGACGTTGAGGATTGAGTTGAGGACTCTGAGGGAGGGTGGGTTCTGAGGGGGGAAGAGGCCGAGGAGTCTGATGGCTGCGTCGGGCCGGTGGGCCCGGCCGAAGGCCCGGATGAGGGGGAGGAGGGCGGGCTCTGGCGGGGGGTGAGGGGAGGAGAGGAGGAGGCGGTGGGCTTCTTGGAGGTTGTTGGAGGAGATGAGGGAGAGGATTTGGGGGCCGAGGGTCGGTGGGCTGGGCTTTGAGGCCCATCTGAGGGTTTGGGGGGGTTTTGACGATGGGGGTTTTGGGCGAAGGGCGAGGTGAGGGATTTGATCGTGGGCTGGGGTTGAAGGAGAGGAGGAAGAGAGAGATTTGATTTTGGAGAGGGATTTGGAGAACTTTGGCATTGCGGCTTTTGTCGAGAGAGAGCGCGCAAGCCAGGGCTGCAAAAAGAGTGCAGATTTTATAGAAACGCCCTCGTAGAAAGGACCGATCTCATTCCCCACCCTTCTCCGCTCATGGCTGAGAAGTTTAGGGCATGTTTGGATTTGTAGGGGGTGAAGGGAAGTTAAGGGAAACTGAGTGAAGGGAAGGGAAGGGAGTTCCCTTCCCCTTGGTTACACCCCAATTTGGGGGGTAACAATTTTTATACTATTAGAGGGTGAACCAAGGGGAACTAGGGTGAATTAACTTAACCTCCTAAGTGTTCCCAAACAAGGTGAATGGAGGTGAATGGTTCCCCTCCCTTCCCCTCACTCCCATTACCCTCAATCCAAACAAGCCCTTAAGCTTTCCTTCTCTCTACCCGGGGCCCGAACTCTCACGTTCCTATAAGTGTGTAGACCACACAAGACCCTGTATCAAATATAGAAAAGTATCAGGGCTTATCTAAAAATAAGCCAGTCGAGAACTTGAAGCCAGACCAAACCCATACAAAACCCCAAGCGAAGCCGCCTCCTTTTCTCATCGTCGCCTCTTTGCTCCTCATCCATGGCATCATCAATCCAAGAAACAAAGAAGAAGAAACGCCACCAAAACCCTAAAAAAACCAAAACCTCAGAAACCCTAACCCTAAAGGAGGTCAAAACCCTAGGGAGCCAGCTCCTCTCCTCAAGAGCTCACATCAACAACCTCCCAACCCTTCTCTCGGTTCTTTCCCCTTCTTCACCCCTCAAATTCTCTCTCGAAGCCCTAATATCGCTCCAATCCTTCTTCGTCCCCCTCGTAAATGAAATCCCTTCGAAAACCTTGGCGGATCCGAGTAAAGAGAAGGATCCGGAGTTGGTTTACAAAGCTTGGCTTCGCGCGAGATTCGACGAGTTCGTGAACTCGTTGATTGAGACTGCGGTTGATTCTCGATCTGAAGAGGCGCTTAAAGTTAGAATCTTTTCACTAAACTGGTTTCTTTGGGCGTGATGTAGGTGAATTTAATGGAGTTGCTCTTTGTTATCTGTTCCAGGATGTGGCATTGGATGCAATTATGGATTTTGTGAAGCTGGGGAAAGATGGGAAGTTTCAGTCTGCTATCTACCATCGGCTTCTTCACTCCATTGTAAGTTTTATTTTTTGTTCAGTAATCCACTATTTTGGTAGGTTCCTGGCGGTATTAAACATGCTGAAGTTAGGAGGAATACAATTAGTTTTACCGGAAAGAATGTAGCTCATTCAATGTCATACACCATTTGGGAATAGTGCAAAGCAAAACAAGAGGTCTTCTGCCTGGTAAATCATATCATATCATATATATACTCTCTTTAAAAGCACGAGTTCGGAAAATCTTTTTTAGACAAATATATCCCTTTATAGTTTGAACTACCTTATCTATAATCAAATTCTAATTTTCAATGGTCAATATTACCCTTCACTATTTTGAATATTTTATTTATATCTTAATCTATCCTAATCATAATCATATCTTATCCTAATCCTATGTGAACCATGTTTAGCTTAACAATTTAAAAAAACTAATATTAATAAAATATATAAAACATAAAAATGATATTAGCTTGTTAAGATAAAGAAATTACAAGTAAATAACATATTATAATACATGAAGTATTGTAAAAAAAACCATAAAAAGTTTTAAAATTGCAGAAAAGACCCTGAAAAGTTCAAAATTATAAAAATCATCCCAATGTCTCAAAACTTAAAATAAAAAACATGAAATTAAAAAATTAACATCAGTTTGCAAAGAATTTAAAATTTACAGTTAACACCTCAATGTCTCAAAAATTATAAAAACACCCTCAAAAGTTTAAATTACAGACAAGCACATTAAAATTCTAAAATTTTAAAACTTACAAACAACACCCCTTAGACACCTAAAAAAATAAAATTTGCCAAAATTAACCTCAAAATTTTTAAAAAACTCCTTCAAAAATTAAAAATCGTAAAAAAAAACTTTAAATTTTTAAAAATTTTAACTAGCACACATCAAATTCGTCGATTGGTAGACCGCTGAAATTTTTATATTTTTCAAAATTAATCTATAGTTTTAATAATTGCAAAAGACACCCTCAAAATTTTAGAGTTACAAAAAATATACTAACATTTAAAAAATTACCACCAACACATGAAACATAGAATTTACAACTACCAAACTTAAAAGTAATTTTTTTAAAAAACTCTTTTAAAATTTTAAAAATTATTAATCACACCCTCAAAGTTCAAAACCACAAAAATGGGCTAAAATTTTAAAACTTGGCAAAGAAAAGTGTAATTGTTTGGTATTTTTCGTATATATATATATATGTATATATATATTAAAATTTCTAATTTAGGGATTTACTATCCATTTTCAGCATCTAAGAATATATATATGTATATATATATTAAAATTTCTAATTTAGGGATTTACTATCCATTTTCAGCATCTAAGAACAGTCTAAGTAGATACTGGTAAACAAAAACAATAAGAATTGATTAAAAACATCTGGTTAATGGATAAAAATTTTAAAAATATTATAGATTAAAAATTATCGGCACTATATAAATTAAAGTAATTTCATATAATTTTAGTAATAAGTTGGGGTAGCCAAAATACATTCATAACATTAATTGATAGATGTTTAAATCCATAGAAATGATAAAACACTATAATATTATACCTTAGCATTAATTGATTTTAATTTAGAAACTTTAATCTTTGACGTTAATAATATTTATAGGGTAAAAGAATACAAGGAATTACATATGGAGAAACTATTAGAATATTTAGAGATAACTTTAAAAGAATTGAGTTATTTCCATTGCAAATGGGAAAGTGATGGAAATAAATCTAAAATTCAGAAAACGTCAATGAATCACTTGAATTGGCATTAACATAAGACATATCTATTAATGAAGCACTGAATGAGTTACATTAAAAAATAATTTAATAACTTTATCCTAATCAAAGAAAAAATCTCCATGGAAGACATAAGAAAAATTAGTAAGTATTCATAAATTCCATACTGTGTTCTTCAAATTAAATATTAATATTATAATCTAAGAGAAATTGGTAATGAATAATGCAGGTATTTAGTTTAGATCTTTATGGAAAATGACAGGGATAGAGCAAAGGTAATATTATTGAAATAACAGAAATTCTTATTGGATGCACATCAGAAGAATTCATTTTAGAGGAAAATAAAGAGATAGCTTCTAATTTATTTAAGTAATAAATTAGGAACACAAAGAATTTTATATATATGAAATTAATATTTATTCTCATTGAAATAGAAAAAAAATCAAAGTCTATATTTTGAGCAGTTTGTGTTGAACATCATAAGTACATTTGACTTCTTTGTAAAGTTAAATGAGATGATAAAAAATTAACGAGCCTAGGAAAGATAATAGCATAAAAAATACAAAATTAGCCTGATGTCACAATTGATGTAGATGATGAAGACAATACTCTAGAATTGTCCGAGAAATGATAAATGATAAACCTGAAGAAGGATTGATCTTAACTCAATAAAAAATAAAATAGAAGAAATAAAAACAATATTTTATGAATATTTTATAGAATAGTTTAATTATTTTGAGTGAAATTAGGAATCTTTAGAAGGGAGTTTCATGAATTTTTTTTAGTACTTTTATATTCTTATGTGGATGTTTTTATCATATAAAAGTATACTAGATCAGCATTAATCTTTAATTTATATTTTTTTTGAAGTCTATCAATGATTAGGAATAAACTTCATATTCTCTTTTGCATCGTTTTAACATACTTTAAATCAATCATTTTGCCATATTGGTTTTAAATATTCACCTTCCTTGTATAACACTATTTTAATATTTTCACTTTACAATACTATACTTTCTCAAATAAAGCTTAGTTTCATATCGGTCAAAAATAATATAAAAATTCAAATTATTTTTAAATTATATTTGTTTTTTGTCAATTCAAATATCAACATGAAAATTTAAATTAGGTGTATCCTATTTAAACAAACATAAAAAATTAATCGGGATGTAAGAGTTTAAAGAAAAAAATGAGCACAAACTGTCAAAAATACTTAATCATGGTATTAAATCACGTGCATTGCACGTGTGTAAAAACTAGTACTGAAATAGAACTGGGTCTGCGCCTATGCTGGATAAGAGCCACAAGCTTTTAGGTACCATTTAGAAATCGTATTAGGGCTCTCTGAAGTTTGGATCTGAGAAAATCTATGCCTTCGAGGTAAAAGCAAATTGGTTACAAGAACGATCCCGATATAGGATATAAGCAACACCTTGTGAAACATGTTGTAGCTTATTGCATGAAAATACAATTATAATGGCATGAGAAATTCAGTATATGAGGTATAACTAACATTTTTATTTTGATCCAGTGTTTCTCACCTGCTCTTTACCCATTTGGTGTTATACTTCGGTGTCAAATTACACCTAAAAATCGAGTATAGCTTACTGTCCTAATGAGCCTAAGATTTTGACTACATATAGGTCTTTCTTTGTCATTATACAGAGTTGCTAGTAGTCCAAAATATTATAAACTTAGAAAGGGATTTCCAATTACTAATTTAGTTTTTGTATGACTAAAGTCTCGTTACTGCATCCTTTTCATTTGGATCTTTTTTAGTTCTAAGGGTTTCACAGTTCATTTTTCAGATTGCATTACAAGCGGTAGATAGCGTTTTACCTCTTTTATTCCGATGAGCATACCTCATATTTTCTTTCTTACAATACTTCGTGTAATGCAGGTTCGTAATACATCCTCAGTTGATTCTTTGATTGATTTGCTTGCATCAAAGTATTTCAAATATCTTGATGTTCGGTATGTACTGTTTTTCTCCTCTTGAATTAATCCATATGTGAACTTAGTTTCTGGTAGGCAGTGTAAGTATGTTGACCTCATAAAGCTCAATAGTCCCATGCTGTAATGTCATGAATACTTCTAGACTTATTGGAGTCATCAGCATGAAAATCTACAAAACGGCCTCATTTGTAGTTTCTATACTATCAGTGAGGGTACAGTTTTTTTTAAAACTTCGACAAATCCAAATAGTTATGCCATATGTTATCTCTAAGAATCTATATCATTTATACTACTCAGATATCTTTATTGTCACATAACTCAGGATAAGAAATGCAAAATGTAGCTAATTTTCTCATCCTTGTTGCTCCATTATGTTAATATGTTCTTAACTCTGTCAGTTTTCAAATGATGTTGGGTCAAGAATTAACCTTTGAGCTAAACATTATCTGCTCCTTATAACCACTCATAATCGTTATCTACCTAAAATGATTATCTTTTGCATAAACTTCTATATTCCATAACCTTCCATCTCAACATATATCATCCATTGATCTTTTGGTTCAAATCTTTAAAACCAAAATTCATTGTTCTCAACCTCAAACGAGTAACCGTTAACTTTTCATATTAGCACAAATCAACACAAGTCAACTTCATTTAGTAAAATGTAAGCTTTGCCATATGTTGCATCCAGAGCAAAGCATTAAACTACTTTAAATTAAGATCAATATACAAGTGCATTTAAAGGGATGAAATCGATTGCTTTCCATGCTCTGTTTTTGCTTCTGCTATTGCTTCTTAATGGGAGAAGCATAGAGATCGAGATCTTTGCATGCTGTAACTTGTGACAAACAATAAATAAGCTCTAGCAGTTTCTGGGAAAAAGAACAATAAAATGAAGTATGTGGTTATCTGGGCTTCATATTATTTGTACATGCACTAGGGTGCACATGTGTTTCCCTTTTTGTTCATCAATGAATTCTCTTACTGGTGGATTTTTCAAAGAAGAGCTGCAATGAGATTGTTTGCATAGAAACCAAAAGCATTTTGCTTGTACGTTATACTATATTATAGTTCTTTATGAATATCTTACTATACCTCTTTTTGTACAAACCTTTACCGATCTAGAATTTAGAACTTTTGATTCATTACACTTTTACAGTGTTTTTTGTGAATGCAGATTGCAGACTCTTACTTCTTGCAGATACTCTTCTTTTTTAAACTATTTTTCTGTAAACTGATTGCAAAAGTTAGTTTTTTTCTTTTATATTAAGTTAATCCCCTTTATATAATTGTTTCAAATGGACTACATACGACCAAAGTCTATAGATGTTTATTCTTACTTATCATTATCTTCTGTAATCTTTCCTCTGGGTTTTAAGTTTTTCTTTGTGTACCTGAACCTAATGACTTCTAATGTTGGTACCTCTAATGAATTAGTGGTATACATGGATAGTTACTATCATACGTTCTTAATTTTTCCTCTTTGTGCAGTTATTTCACCTATACAAGTCTGTATAAGGTTGCTAATGATTCTAACTCAAGACATATGGCCGGTAACTATTTCACTTTTCATGTGACTTTTGTTAGATTTCACTATTGCTTTTTTAAAACTCTTTTGGTGGTTGTCCTTGGCAAATTTTCCTATCCGAAATTTATGTTAATTCATATTCTAAGATATGTGTCCCTTTTTTTCCCTGGATTAGACTGCCAAAAAGAGGACTCACAGACTAAAGGAGAGCTATCTGAGTCTAGGTAAGCTTAAGAATTTACTGGAAGAATAATTTCTTCTCTTTGACTTACGTACAACTATATACATTCATACTTTTTGATAATGCCTGACTTGCATATATTTTCAGTATCACCAACATTGTTAATTAACATTGCTATTTATCTACTTCTGAATTTGGTCCCATTTGTGAAGTATGGCAAATTTTGAGCCCATAAGTGACTATTGCATGTGATCATATGCCCGACTTCGATATACAAAAGAAACGGAAGAATATAGAGAGGAGAAAGAAAAAGAATAAATTTTGCTGTCTCTCATCTGCTTCCACCAGTGCAGCTGTCACTGTTAGAAGGCATTCTGACTTGGAGACATCCTGACTTCCGCCTAGGAAGCTTTGCTGTTTCCACTATTTCCCCTCTTATATTCTCTCGTTTGTTTTTTCTTTTCTTTTTTGAGGCAAGTTTCAGCTTTCTCATGTTGATCACTTAAGCGTCGTCTTAGGGAATAATTAGACACAAGTGGCTTACTAGATACTCCTATATATGTCATGCTTTCTGTAGTTCTGGGTATCGATTGTTGAGGTGCTTGGTAGTAAGGGTGGGCTAAGTCTTCGTTGAAGCTAGATTTCTGGGGCTGGCCTATTTAGGTTTCCTGAAAGTGGCAGGGCTGGGGTGGTGGATCAGGTCAAGTTTTACCTGAACGATTGAACCTGCTAGGCCAAATATCCAAACCCAACAATTCCAGGTACAATCATGTAGGTTATTTAAATCTGACTTGCCTGAACCATTCATTAGATGGTTAGAGTCGGGTTGAGTTTGGATTTTGTAGAAGTTTGATTAGATGCTATGCATTTGGCGATAAAAATACAGATTATTTGATATTTGGAAGTCTGAATAATAAAGAGAGGATCTTACTGCTTCGAGCATTCTCTGAAATCTTAAGAGTAAGGGCTGTGTATAAGCTGTTAACTATACCAGGAATTATGTAGCTGAAGGTGGATGATTGGGAATCTAATAAACCCATTGCATCCGAGGCAGACACTTGCCAAGTTTCTAAACATGAAACTTAATAAATTATTCTAGAAAAATTGATATCTGCTAATTGGATAATCAACAGATTTTACATTCACTGAGACTATTAAACAACTTCTGAGTTCAGTTATTATGTTGGACAATACGCTGATGATGAATATGTGTTAATAATTTATAGTTTTTAGTTTGCAGTTGGATTACAGATAGTCTTATACTAACTGGATGTTGGTTATAAAGTTACAGGGACCATCGCTGAGAACTGTAATTAAGAACCTTTATTCAATAATTAGATAAATCCTAGTCTGTGCTACATCCTTGACGACTTTAGGCACCCGGCGGACTCTGAGCAATTACCTAGCATATTTTTGAAACACTGTTCTAGAAAGGTCAACAAGAGCAGTTTTAATCATGGATCTTTCAAATGTTATATCTTTCCCTGTGTGCATGTGTATGTGCGCGTGCGTGTATGTGCATACACACATTGATGGGATAATGTATGAGTTGGTCTTACTCTTTCAACTGAAGTGGTTTGGCTTGAATATTTAGATTCTTAGACTATTGAGAGCTTGACTGGATGCGATTGAATGAGCAACTTTTTTCATATCTCTGAAATAAAGAACTGTTAGACTGGCTTGAGAAACAATTTAGATGCTGATTTATAGGTTTTAAAGTGAGCAAACTATGAGGATATGATTTTCCATGGCACCATACACCTTAATCTTGTTGCAAAAGTTTTGTCTTGCAAAAGTTTTGTCCTGGTTAATTATCTGAGAGAAGTTGTATAGTTTATTATACAGATTTAGATCATATCTGTTGATAAATTCTTATTGAGTCTCAAATTTTAATATGTTATATTATTTCATTAGTATCATTGTTGCCTATGTTCATTAAAGTTGGTCATTTATTTCAACATTGCGAGTAATGATCTTGTTTTTCCATTAAATATCTTTCTTATGTAGCAGAATGGAGACTGCTGTTCGCATAATTTACTATATATTATCACACATCCCGCCTATGGAGTCGACCGATAAAGAACCAACATATGAGATGTGGAGCCAGTTGGGTAAGTATCAGTCTTTTACAATTACTATGATAATATTTTTACTTCTCATGTGTAGCACATCTAATAACATATTAGGCACTTTTGATATACAACATCATGGATACTTTCTTCTATCTTGTTTATTATGACTTAGTAATGCCTGTTGCAGTGAATGAGAATGAAACATTGATGTGGTCATTTTATATCTATGCTACAATAGATGCAACGTCTTTTCTTCATTCAACATTCAGGTGCTTTGTGTTTTTTTCCTTTACTGAAATCTTTTCTTTCAACCTGCGATTTCTTTGAGTTGAGCTTTATGTCATTTTTATATTGTCATGTGAAAATAAGCTACTGAATACAAAAAATTGTTTGTTTATTGTTAAACGAACTATGAAATTGAATAGAATTAAATAACTCGATGAACAATTAACGAACTGATTATTAATTACTCGGTTCGTTTCCGACGCTACTTGCAAGTTACATCTTTAGGTGAAGAATGACGGCATTGACTGGCTAGTGATGTCTATAGACCACTGTAAACCCTCTATTTCCTTGATTACCACTTCAACTCCCAAGATTCCGTTCTTTTATGGCCATTTCACTTTCAGAGATTTGCATTCAAATATCACTTTTAGAATATTGTATTCCCTTCCATTGACTTCACATCATTGGTTTTATGTGGCAAACATCATTGCGGTTTGACGAATGCACTTTTAATGTTATCCAGGTATCTCACCAAAAGAAGCAGAAAAGGCATCTTCCGACCCCTTGTCTGGCAATTCAAAGTCCCAAAAACCAAAGGGTATGCACAGTGAAGTAAGTTGACAGTACCGTCTTCATCTTACCTTTTTTTAAGTTTCAGAAGTTATATGTGTGTACATTAGACCTTTTAAAAAAATTTGCATTTTGTTCATGTTTGCATGCATACATGGAGTTGTGTCTGTTCCTGTTCCTCCAGCGTCCTGCTCCTAGGCATATTGATGCACACATGCACTTTGTTTATGTTTGCATGCATACGTGGAGATGTAGAGTTGTGTTCTGTTCCTGTTGCTGCAGTATCCTGCTCTTCACCATCACTCTTTGTACAAGTCTGCAAGATTCAAGTGGATTTTATCATTGATGTAAATTAGGACGTTCATTGATCTATTTGCTGTGCAGGAAGTCAATTTCTTATGTATTCCATGTCGCATATTAGTGAAGTCTAAAATTCTATCACCTAACGAAGATAGATAAGCCTTTGCTTGGTCCTTAGAAGCATATTCTGATCAGTTCGCTTTCTCCATGTGTCCGAATTCATTATAAATTATTTTGTTGTTAAGCATTCTCTTATTCTCTCATAACTTTAGCACTTTCACTATATTATTTGTTAAAAATGTATAATATTCTTTAGGCCATATAGCCGGTTACTTTGTTCTGTAGACGATGAATTAGCACTCTGATTTAAAAACGCTGACCTGCAAATCTTCTGGGGACCCACATACATTCGTTTCTGATACTTCTTTTCTAGTCCAAACTATTATTTCATGATATCCACTAATATTGAGAGATCTGTTAGATATCTTTGAGCACCGAATTTTTGTGTGAACACTTTTATAGGACATTATGAGAAACTAACAAAACCAAAGTCTTTTATAGGATAATATGCACATCAAGAAATCAAAAGAGATTGGTGGATAATGTAAAGCTGACTTCATTGTAGGTGGGCTATCATAATATATGTTCGTATATGATTTGCTACATAATATGGCAACTAAGTTGTATAATATGTTTTGTTCTGCAAACCCTGTTTTAACTTCATTTTTTATACCATGAATAATGAAAATAGGTCTAATTTCAGTCCCTTCTCACTTGGTGAAGCAACTATCTTTTACCAAGTTTAATAAAAGAAGTGGTACAAGAAGTCGAAGATAAATTTATCACTATTTTCAACCCTTCCATCTTTTAGTGATACATCTTGCTTTAGCTGATATTTTACTTTCAGCTTTAGCTATGTTTTACTTTCAGTTTTTTCTATGAAATTTTAAGCCTCCATAACAGAACAGTTGGTTAAAATAAATATAATTTTTTTAGCATGTTGAAGATATTAGTATGGAGGGTTTATAGACCTTGGCCCAATTATGGACAGTAATCATAGTGCCAGGGTCTTTGCAGCAGACAATTACAAGTGAAGTGATGGGTTATTTTTCGGGTTATTTTTCCTCTTGGAAATATTTTCTTCCTAACCAGTCAATGAAAACCTCCAACAAAGATGATGAAGTCATGGACTTAGATGTTTAGGCTGCTAAATCAAATTGCAACGCAAAATGCTTGTTTTTGCAGCACAACTTCTGCATCTCCAAAGTAATTTCCTTTAGCTTGTGATTTCTTGGATGTCCTTTTTTACCAAGGTTGTTGATAGCGGATAGCGTCGCGTCGCGTCGAGGTACCGCTAAGGTTATTTGGGGCTATTGCGACAAAATAGTGGCAAATAGCGTATAGCAAAATAGCGGTCAAATATAAATACATTTAAATATTCTAAATAATAAGAAAAATCATATACAACTCTACAAATGTATACTTGATGCCTAAACATGAAATAGATGTGTAATAATTACTACTGTTATAAATAGCGGTAAATAGCCCCGCAATAGCGGCGCTAATAGCGTTAGCGGTCCCTTCCCGCGACGCTATCGCCCGCTATGCTATCACACAATAACGGTGACATATTATGGAATATGTTTGTTCGCAAAAGCGACCAATAGTGTGTCATAACGGTAAATAGTAAGCGATTGCATTCGAAATTTGTTTTTTGACTGCTATTTAAAAGCGGTTTGAGGCTTATTTTTTTAAAATTAAACTCAACCCTTGACCATTGCATTCCACCGTCTCCTGTGATTTTCAGCATACTCCCGCCACCTCTCATAGCCTATGTCACCTACCTTGATACTTCCTCTCACCTCCTTCACCGTGAGCTCCTTTTAGGGCAGTCCTGTCACCGCTAAGCTCTTCTTCTCGAAGACGATGACTTTTTGACTCCTCTAGTCATCTTCGGTATTACGTGATGGTTACATGTCTATTCTTCTCGAAGACGATGACTTTTTGACTCCTCTAGTCATCTTCGGTATTACGTGATGGTTACATGTCTATTTCATGTTTAAGATCTCTTTAAATCACTCCTCTAGTCATCTTCGGTATTACGTGATGGTTACATGTCTATTTCATGTTTAAGATCTCTTTAAATCATCCAATATGTACTTTTAGATTTTTTAGATTTTTCTTTAATTTTTTTAAGTATTTATACATATCTAAATTAGACCGCTATTTGACTTTACGTTTTTTACCGTTATTTTACCGCAATAGCCCGAAATAGCCTTAGCGATGCCTCACTGCTACGCGACGCTATCCGCTATCGATAACCTTGATAATTACATAATATTAACAAAACACTATAATTATAAAGAATAAAAAACGTACCTGCTTATCAAAAAGACCGTTATTTGTCCAATTTCTTCAACTTTCAAGTCTCTAATATAAAAATGCTCAACAATAAAAAAGCATTGATTAGTAACATCATCATTATATTAACTACTAGAAATTTGACAAAAAATAAAATATTCAAGTATACATTCACAAATGTTCGTCCACAATTCCAGTAATTAACTACGTGTCCTTTTCTCACCCTAACCAAAATAAAACCAACAGAAACGACACCAAAAGCCCACAACTCGAAGTATCCAAAACCTCATCCCCTCGAAATCTCCACCGTCCATCATTCCCAACCAACGACTCACATCCCCACACAATCTCCCCACCCTATCCAAATCCCACAACAAAAAAATCCATTTAAATCTCGCCAAAAAAAAGAAAAAAGAAAAAGAAAAATGTCATCATCGTCGATCTCCACCACCTTCATCGGCCTTCGCCAGGCTTCCCCCGAGCCCCAAACGCCCACAAACCACCACTAACATCATAAGCCCGAGGAGGAGATGCCTCAAGATTTGTGCTGGCATG